GACTGGGTTCTAAATGGTTAGTTAAATGAAAAATTTTTTTTCTCAAAACCTGGAATTCTCAGATTATTGATGATCTTTTCTTTTTCACAGAATTCAAACATGGAAAAGCTCCTATTCTGATTGCTACAGATGTGGCCTCCAGAGGGCTAGGTTAGTAAAAACTCGAATTCATGGCTTGGTTTCCCAGAAGATCTCCATATAATTTTTTTTAAAGAAAGTTTATTGCTTTCTTTAACCTCTGCATTTTTTCTAAGTTTTTTTCATATAAAGGTGCAGTCTTTGTGGCAAGGCCTAGGCATGACAATCGGAGGACTCGAGGGGGATGGAGGACTAGTGATCGGCTGGCTGCTTCCAGTCGATTAGAGAGGTGAAAAGCTGAAAGTGTGCCAGTAATCTTCAAAAGGCAGAACATACCACCTCTGCCCCGTAAACTGTTCTCTCCGGGGGAAAAAAATGGAAGTTATCCTCACAGTTCACTGCCGTGGTATTTCTTCTGTCCCATGCTTTGCATGACTGCCATGGTACAGCATTGTTTCAAACTGTTTACTGTGATCTGTGGGTCTTTGAGTTTCAGTGAGTTTGCTGAAATGTTGAAGAAATATTTCCAAACTTCAATGTTCAATGAAATTTTTGTTCAAGTTTGAAATGGAGAGAGCAGCTTTAAAAGGTACTAAGCCTTTTACAAATTGGTGAGTACTGGCACATGAGATCTAGATCAGGAGCAACTTCTCACACTTAGTCAGTGGGAAAAGAAAGCAGTGCTTTGAAAGTTCCTCCCTCACCTACACAGTAGTCGTCATGTCGAGACCTGCCAGAGAGAGACACATTCTCAAGTGAATCCTGGCTTCTTGGAAGCGCTTGCCTAGACGAGACACAGTGCATAAAAACAACTTTTGGGGGACAGGTATGTTTTTCTTGCAGCTGCGGTTGTAAGGTCTTGGCAAGACAAGCAGTGTGGCCAGAATTTTGAACTTCTGATGAGTGTGTAATGCAAAGGACCATGTACATTTTTGTTTAAAGGTCCTCAAAATGAGCACATGAAGAGGTTGCTGTGAACCTTTAAGTGGCCCTACTGCGCAGAAGCATTCAGATGTCACTTGATGATCTGTAAGGGGACTTGGCTGGTTTGGGAATATGTTAGAGAATACACGTCATTTTGACAGGCTCTCTCTCATTGGGTGGGTAATGAGACAGGTAGATGGTGTGTGCTTTTTTTTTTTTTTTCCTCCCTTCCAACCTCAATGGTATTCCTACAGAGAATGGATAACCACTTTAACTGTATTTTTTGCAGCCCGTACCTTCTTGGGAATACAATTGTCTAACTTTTTATTTTTGGTCTGGCTGTTGTGGTGTGCAAAACTCCGTACATTGCTATTTTGCCACACTGCAACACCTTACAGATGTGGAAGATGTGAAATTTGTCATCAATTATGACTACCCTAACTCCTCAGAGGATTATATTCATCGAATTGGAAGAACTGCTCACAGTACAAAAACAGGCACAGCATACACTTTCTTTACACCTAATAACATAAAGCAAGTGAGCGACCTTATCTCTGTGCTTCGTGAAGCTAATCAAGCAATTAATCCCAAGTTGCTTCAGTTGGTCGAAGACAGAGGTTCAGGTAAGACCAACCTTCATTAAGAAATGTTGGTGATTTGGGGTCACATGATTGTCTACAAATCCTTTAAATGGGATTGGCGGGTGAGTAAAATCTTCAATATGAAACGGAAAACACTTCACACATAGAGTGAATAGAGCTTCCTAATTCCTTCTGCATTCATAATTTGTGCCATGGAAATAATCCGCTTGCTATTTTTTTTTCTTGACAGGTCGTTCCAGGGGTAGAGGAGGCATGAAGGATGACCGCCGGGACAGATACTCTGCGGGCAAAAGGGGTGGATTTAATACCTTTAGAGACAGGGAAAATTATGACAGAGGTTACTCTAGTCTGCTTAAGAGAGATTTTGGGGCAAAAACTCAGAATGGTGTTTACAGTGCTGCAAATTACACCAATGGGAGCTTTGGAAGTAATTTTGTGTCTGCCGGTATACAGACCAGTTTTAGGACTGGTAATCCAACAGGGACTTACCAGAATGGTTATGATAGCACTCAGCAATATGGAAGTAACGTTCCAAATATGCACAATGGTATGAACCAACAGGCATATGCATATCCTGCTACTGCAGCTGCGCCTATGATTGGTTATCCAATGCCAACAGGATATTCTCAATAAGACTTTAGAAGTATATGTAAATGTCTGTTTTTCATAATTGCTCTTTATATTGTGTGTTATCAGACAAGATAGTTATTTAAGAAACATGGGAAATGCAGAAATGACTGCAGTGCAGCAGTAATTATGGTGCACTTTTTCGCTATTTAAGTTGGATATTTCTCTACATTCCTGAAACAATTTTTAGGTTTTTTTTGTACTAGAAAATGCAGGCAGTGTTTTCACAAAAGTAAATGTACAGTGATTTGAAATACAATAAATGAAGGCAATGCATGGCCTTCCAATAAAAAATATTTGAAGACTGAATTAAGTGGAAATTGTACTTTATTTTACATATATAATGTCATGTAAAACTTTGCTTAGATGGTCTGTTTTTTTTTTTTTTTAACCATAAAAACTTAAATTGACTGCTCCTTTTCTCTAATTTTGGTTTGGGAAGTGGGGAGATCAGAAGGCCCTTCTTAGAATGATCTATTTATAGTGCAAAAATTAAAATGAGATTAAGTAAATTTATACAATTGTAGGCTAAATTGCATAAAGGCTCTCCGTACCTCATCAGGTGAGTCATTTAATAGCCTAATGGTTAGAATGGTGAAGTGAGATTAAAATAGGAAATAATCAACTGTATAGCCCCACCCTCAAACTTAGTGTGAGAGCAACATGGATGACTTTATTCCTTTGCAAAATTTTATCATTTGAAAAGCTCCAAATAACTTGCTTTTTCAGAATAACTTTTGGCTCTATTATAAATTACCAAAACGGTGAACAAAGCTAAAAGACTTTACACCTTTTAAGGTCTTTGGCCAAGAGCTAAGTTTGAATTTAATATAGATTGTAGTATTCAGGCTCTTGGGGCACTTAACTATGGTTACACTGGGAATCATGAATGTCTTTATGATAATTCAGGGAACTCTAGAGCACTTCAGACTGGACGGTCTATTCATACTCAGAAAATCCTGTCGAAGTTAATGATTAACCAAGAGGAAGCAACATAACCAAAAGCACAGTGACTATTGTACAAGTCATCTTGTTAGGTCAACATGGTTTTTTATTGCTAGAAAGGTCAGGGGAGGAGGGGGGTTTGTTTTAGATTTAACTTTGGCTCACCAACCTTTCTAATACTTCATTTCAGTAGTGACTAGAAATAGGTCTGGATGTCTCCCCAGAGTCTGGTGTATATGTTCTTTTTTGTCAGGAGAGGAGAGGTCTTCATGAGACTTCACTTAAATTCTGGTTATTAAACTGAGGCTTTAATTGGTGTCAATGCCTTATCTCTAAAATGTAAAACTTAACTAGAATTTGCTTGGGGTAGGGAATGGGGAAGTGGTATTTTTAGGACTAATACATTGAAAACTGATTGAGCCTCTAGTGACTTGAACAGTTTTCAATAGCATGGTTAGTCAAATTCATTATGACTTAACTTATAAGAAGCTTTTGGGGTAGGTTGGAGTATTTATTACATATTTTACTGTTTAATGTCTAACGGCCTTTTAATTTGTAAACATTTATTGAAATGATTGTGGGGCTGTGGAAAACATTTACCTATTTACCTTTGAAGTAAGTTTTAAGACAGTCCACTTTTTAGCATGTGTGTTGTGTCCAGCCTGTGGTTGTCTGAACTAATAAATGTGATTTTTCTCCCCATTCTCGCTTTTATTTATTTGTGTATAGGCCTCTTCCCTGGTGTGTGTTTCCTGATTGGAAAGCACGATGATAGAGCCCAGCTTTTAATGGAATTTAAATTTTTTTAAAAAAAATGGTTTAAAACAAAAACGGCCTAACCTTTTTTTTTTACACAAACTCCTGCACACGTGCTTGTATAGAATGTTTTTGAGCCTGTCCTGCAACATGTTACACATAATGAATTAACAGTTAAAAACTGCTAGGCTGTCACCCTCCTTTCATAAACTGCCCCTTGGTAGTTTAATAGAATCTAGTAGTACTTTGATCTGCATTAATCTTTCAAGGTTACCCTAACCATTTTAAGGGAAGCTAGAGGTAGGAATTAACGGGCTTTGGAAGCAACCATTTTTCTCTGGGCTGTGCCACTTCACACTCTTTGGGCAATTTTGAGGGCTGAGTGTAAATGAAAAATCGTGAGGTCACAAGTGCCTTCTAGGTTAAAACAGGTTATCACATTTTATTGCATGTTTTGATGAGCCTGTAGAAGGGTTCTGATAGAAGAACTTCCCTTTATATTAGAGATTGTCAATGTGCCTCCACATTAACTTGGGCGGCTTGTTTAAGAAAGCTGGGCTCCTCTTCAAAAATGTTCCCGGGGGTGGGGGGGGCCGTGCAAGCACTGCTGGCTGAGAACACCATGTAAAGCTTGTCCCGGTTCGCAGTCACAGCCCCATCCCCACTCCTGTAAATAGGCAGCATGGCGGCAGCGTTTGCAATGAATTACAGCTAAGGCCTGGGTCTCTAAACCACCTCGAAACTGGGAACTGGTTTGCTTTCGCCAACGCTTAAATTTGAAAAGGTGTATTTAAATGGTGATTTGGGGAAAGCCTAAGTATTTTGATGGGATTTGCAAAAAATTGACAAGCAAAGCTGACTCCTAGTACCGCATGACAGTGAAAAAGTAGACGGGAACGACCTTTATGGTGCTAAAGACCTAGCAATTAGGCAGGGCTTAATGGCGAAAAACGGCAGGAGGTCTGCATTGGCCTTAGCAACAGGGCCCGGCCCTCGGCGGCAGCAGCCCGTTCACGGTGACGCGCTTCCGTGGGTGTGGCCGGCCGCGCGCCTGGTCACTTCCGTCGCGCCTGCGCAGTTGGCTCCTGGGCTCGTGTTTGTGGCGGTTTCCCGGGATCGACCAGTTAATGGGAGCCTGGGCTGTTTAACTGCCGCCGGCGATGCGTTCTGGTGCTGCGGTCAGGGCCTGCCAGAAAGTCTGCAGGTGCCTGTTGTCTGGGTTTGGAGGTCGAGTGGATGGGGGGCAGCCTGAGCCGTTATTGGAAGGGAGTTGTTCCTTCGGAGTGCCCGTGAGGTCACACGCGGAGCTGCCCCGGGGGAGCGAGCCGACCGGAGTCCCCGAGTCCGGTGAGGGGAGCGAGGAGCTGGTAGAGATCTGTCAGAGAAGGCATTTCTTCAGTGGCAGCAAGCGGCAGCTTAGCCGACATTGTCTTCTGAGCGGGTGCCACCCCGGCTTTGGCCCCTTGGGCATAGAGTTGCGCAAGAACCTGGCAGCAGAATGGTGGTCCTCAGTGGTGGTGTTCAGGGAGCAGGTCTTCCCGGTAGATGCCCTCCATCATAAGTCTGGCGCTACGTTGCCTGGGGACAGTGCCTTCAGGTTAGTTTCCGCAGAAACTCTACGCGAAATCTTGCAAGACAAAGAGCTGAGTAAGGAACAGCTAATAGCATTTCTTGAAAACTTATTAAAAACTTCTGGGAAACTACGGGAGAACCTTCTTCACGGTATGCATCACGATTTCATGTTTCAAAATAGATGGGGTGGAAAGGCAGATTTGCTAGATTTCGCGGATTGCAACTGGTCCTTTATTCACGTGGAAAGAAATTATCTGGTTCTCATCTTTTTGAAGTAATTGGGTATATTGATAATGTTTCTACCAAGGGGAAAACTGGTCTATGGAATAGTTACTGTTCCTTAAAGAGTCTGGCTTGAAGGACCAGGTGACGCTCTCCATTTCATGCGGCAACCCTACGTTCAATTGAGCAGCCCTAGGATTAGGAGTAAATTAAATCATGTGAATCATTTGTTCGTCGTTACCAAGATGTTGGTAAATACTTCCACAGTTACTCTTTAATTTTACACATAATAGGCTTATCAAGAGCTCGGTCTTCTAGAGCAAAAAGAAAATCCCCCCTCTCCCAATTTTTCCTACTGAAAACCTATCTACACTCTGTTGTTTGAAGAGCCCTTTAAGTGATTTTTTTTTTTTTAAGATTTTATTTACTTGACAGAGAGAAAGACAGCCAGAGAGGGAACACAAGCAGGGGGAGTGGGAGAGGGGGAAGCAGTCTTCCTGCGGAGCAGGGAGCCTGATGCGGGGCTCAATCCCAGGACCCTGGGATCATGACCTGAGCCGAAGGCAGACGCTTAACGACTGGGCCACCCAGGTGCCCCCCCTTTAAGTGATTTTTGAGTCGACTAAAAAAATAGAACTAATCAAGCTTTATAACATTCTTGAATGAATACACAGAAATTTGTGGGGCACCATTTGCCTTTAAAGTTTATTTTTGTAATCTCAGCACTCAAGGTGGGGCTCGAACTCACAACCCTGAGATCAAGCGTCACCTGGCTCTTCTGAGCAGCCAGGCGCCTCCATCATTTGCCTTTAAAGTCAAATAGAACACAATCGCAGAGATTCTGAAGAAAAAAATTCAAGTTCTTTACAGGGCAGACTTGCCACAGCATCTCTGCAAAATGCTATCCATACTATTTTAATTAAGTGGCACTACAGAGTAATTTAACCAATGTCCATGATTCTCTGAAAATTAGTACCCACATTATAGCTTTTTAAAAATTTCCTTAATAATTAAAGCAAACTAAAGCAAACGTGAATATTTGTGACAGTTTTGATTTGTACTACTTTAATTATTCCATGATGTCTTTATTTGGGGCAAGTTAAATCACTACTTATTACCATGTCCAAAACAAATCAATCTTTTCATCCCTATTAGAGAATGAAACTTAGGGGCACCTGGGTGACTCAGTCAGTTAAGCATCTGCCTTCGGCTCAGGTCGTGATCCCAGGGTCCTGGGATGGAGTGCCGTGTTGGGCTCTGTATTCAGTGAGGAGTCTGCTTCTCCTGCCTCTAAACCCCCTCTCCCCCCGCTCGTGCACACACACACACACTCTCTCTCTCTCTCTCTGAGGTAAATAAATAAATCTTAAAAAAAAAAAATGAAACTTAGCTCACTTAGATTTCCATTCATCAAAACCTCCATTGATATACCAGACATTTCTCCTTTATTTCCTTTATTTGCAGAATCCTTTAGTTGACTAGTATTTTTAGCTTAGAATTACCCAGTTTACCACTTCTTTCTATTCCTAAGGTCCTTGTTCCCTTTATTTCATGTCTGAACTACTTTGGTAGCCTCTACTTATGAATAGTTTTAAAAAATCCTCGGCCATTATATTTCCAGATACTGTTATTGTCCCATTCTACTCTGTCCTTCTGTGACAGATTACATGTTAGACCTTTCCCCCATCTTGTCATCAACTTTCTTGAACACAATCACATTTTATAAAGTCCACATCCAATAACTCAGATATATCTATTTTTCTCTGGGCCTTTGGTCAATTGGACTTTTCTCCTGATATTCTGTGTAATTTGTGTATAAACTCTAGACATAATTTGAGCTTCTGGGTGGTGTTTTCTTCCTGGGAGGATTTACTTTTGCTTTTGGCAGGCAGCTAGAGTGGGAGCATATCTCTTTTAAGATTTTATTTATTTGAGAGAGCGAGAGAGCATAAGCAGGGGTGAGGAGCAGAGGCAGAGGGAGAAGTAGGCTCCCTGCTGAGCAGGAAGCCCGTTCAGGGCTTGATCTCAGGACCCAGAGATCATGACCTGAGCTGAAGTCAAGACCCTTAACTGACTGAGCCGCCCAGGTGCTTCAGAGAATGGGAGCGTATCTTCTTAATACAACCTGGGATTAAGTTTATTGGAGGCTGGTCTTCAGGGTTTTCATCTCTACTCCTACAGTGTAGCCCTTTGAGTGTCCCTAGTGAAAGGCTGGAGTGTTTACCAGGGCCCCTCCTCCTTGAGAAGCCAGGAACTAGTTTTTGTACTCCCCAGTCCCTTAAGATGTCAGGAAGCTTCTCAGCTCTGCTACTTGAGATTTAGAAAAGCAACCCTAAATGTTGGGTTCACCTCTCTGCTCCTCCCTTCTCTCCATATTTTGGACCCTCAAGTCCTTACTGCCTTGATAGCTCAGTCTTTAAGCAGATTTTTTTTAAAGTTTCTTGACCAGCTTTTCTTATCTTGCTGATCTACCAGAAATGGAAATCTCAAGTAGCTTAAACACAATGCTGTCATTTAATGGGACATAATCTAAGTGCATAAAGAACTACAACGAAATCTTGAGCTTAGATTTATTCCAAATAGAAATGTTGGAATTATAATTCTGAAGCTATTTCATATATGTTATAAAGCAAATAGATGGATAAATATTATTAGGAACCAAAATTTTCACTGTGAGAAAAAAGAGATAAAAATATAAAAGAAGACAAGGATAAACTTTGCAATGTTAAATTTGAATCAGCAATATCATTATGACCTCATAATTTTAAAAAACATTATTCTTAACTTTCTTCATTGAAAGGGCCTAGAAGTAATGACACTCAATAGCAGTGAACACACCTAGTACCCAGATTTTGATTTCTAAAATGAACCAGTGCTTGAAGAAATGGCTTATCCCAGGTCTGGGGCAGGGAAAGTACAAGGTGAGTTTGGGACATTTTATGGTGCTAGGAAGCAAAGAATTACTTGAAGACTGGTGAGGTCATGTCAAAAGGACAGATGGTGGCTTGAACTAGACTCCCACTGACTAAATTTGAGACAAACTGAATATTAAGTATTGATGGTAATAGATCATAACACATTAAAATTAAAAATTCATAGTGTTAATCAGAAAAGTAAATAGTTGAGGTTGCTGGTAGGGGAAGGAGGTGGAGAAAGTTTACTTTTTTTACAGAAGCTATGTAATAAATGTAGAAGGAAAGACAGAAAAATCACCATTTTGTGATTTTTGTAGTCCCCAGTATAATAATTGATTCAGGCAGGATCATCAATGGATTCTAAAATGTTGGGTGGAAGATTGTTGAGCAGGATATTGTTGGGGAATGGATATTCACTACCTAACCAGGTAATCAAATTCAGTTTCATTAATATGGGATAATTTGATATTATTTTCCTCCTGTTAGAATGCAAGAAGACATATACATCAACTGTGTAGTATTTTGCTAAAAATGATTTACCCAAGTTAATGAAACAATCAGCCAAATCTCAAGTATGACTGGTCTGGACTCAAACCAAAAGTCAATGTCATTAAAAGTTAGAAAAGGAGGGAGGAATCAGGGGAAATGTTCCAGATTAAAAGAGACCTAATCAAAATGCAGAGCAGGAGCCTTAATTAGGGAAAAAGAGAACAACAATAAATGACATTTTGAGTGACAATTGGAGAAAATAGAATATCGACCATATTTTATATAAAATTACGGTATTATTAATCTTATGGTATAATAATGGTATAAAGAGAATAATTTTAGGAGACACGTGCTGAAATGTTTTGGGGTGAACAAGGAGAAAAGGTGGCAGAATGTTGACAATTGGTGAATCTAGCTGAAGAGTGTAAAGGTATTTATTGTACTATCAACTTTCTTATAGATTTGAAACTCAAAAAGTTGTGGGGAAGCTAAGTAGTAATCAGTTAAGATCTGCCTGAATAGTTCCGTGCTACTTGTACTGCTGTGTTAGCATTATTATATTAATTTGTTTATAAATTGACCTTTATGACTTGGGTTTATAGAATAGATTTATACAGTGACAGATTTATCTTTTGACAGGTGCTTTGGAGCACTATGTTAATTGCCTGGATCTGGTAAACAAGAGACTGCCTTATGGCCTTGCTCAGATTGGAGTGTGTTTTCATCCTGTTTCTGATACTAAGCAGACATCTGATGGTGTTAAGAGGTACCAAAAAATGGCAAATAACTTGGCCTTGTATTTAATCAAGAACCAGTCTCTTTCACTTTAGGATAGATTATATAATCTTCACGTAAGTAACTATCTGATATTTCTGCTGTCCAAAGAATCGGTGAGAAGACTGAGGCTTCACTGGTTTGGTTTACTTCAGCAAGAACTGCAGGCCAGTGGCTTGATTTCTGGTTACGTCATCGACTCCTGTGGTGGAGAAAGGTATACCCTTAATTTACTCATTAATAGGTGAAGTGTCTTAGTGTGTCAGAAATAATACTTCTCTACAATAAATGAAATTTTATTGATGTGGGGCTGTTATGTTTGTAAGAGACAGCTCTAATAAATCAGTAAGTACAAATAAAAGCCTCTTTGTAATGATTTTCATTGTTCCATATAAAAAGTTACTTTGTTAAAAAATATCTGTTGATGTCTCTCTTGCTCAGAAGCTTTTGTCGATAAGCCTTTGCATTCGAGCTAGAGTTCAGATGCCTTACCTGGCATTCCTGGCTGGGATAGCGTTTGACCTTTGCACACCCTTAAAGTGTCAACCTTTGCTCCCTGCCTCCGTCCATGAACTCTCCATATTTGTCAAGATGGTTCTGTGATTTATCATCAAGTTTTAGTACATGCTGAAGAGGAAAGAGTAGGTATTTGTGGCTCATCATTGTCTTGCTTTTCTCCAATTCTTAAAAATCCCCAAACACTCACTCAATTAAGTGGAATAATTACAAATAATCACACTCTTCACAGAGGTTAAGAATGGTGAGTATACACTTTCTTCTCTGTCCCTCTTAGTTTATGGTCACCTTCCCCTCTTATTAACTGGCCAAAAAAAGCTAGATCACTCCAGCAGTTTTTCTCTGTAGTTCTTTCAGGCTAAAAACAGTATTTTTAGCAATACATTTGCTCGTATTTAACTGAACTTCATAGTTTTTATATGGGACCTGACCAGTTTCATTCAGTTGCTGCATAAAAGTCTCAGGCAACTTTACTTTTTAACATTTAGTTTCATAAATTAATAAAACAAACTTTCTTTGGGCACCTGGGTGGCTCAGTCGTTAAGCGTCTGCCTTTGGCTCAGGTCATGATCCCAGGATCCTGGGATCGAGCCCCACATCGGGCTCCCTGCTCTGCGGGAAGCCTGCTTCTCCCTCTCCCACTCCCCCTGCTTGTGTTCCTGCTCTCGCTGTGTCTCTCTCTGTCAAATAAATAAATAAAATCTTTAAAAACAAACAAACTTTCTTTTCCAGTTTGCTGTGAGTCCATCTAACTTCAGCAGCAGCGATTGTGAGGATGAAGAGGGACGAAAAGGAAACCACCTTTATTACAATTTCCCATGGGGAAAGGAGCTAATAGAGACCCTGTGGAATCTAGGAGACCGTGAACTTTTACACATGTGTCCTGGAAATGAGTCTCAATTACACGTATGTTTTACCTTGAGCTCCTATCCATCCTTTACGCATATTCTCTAACTGATCATTTCTGAAACCATTTGAGAACAGGTTGCAGACGTGAGGCCCCATGACCTCTTAATACTGCAGTATGTATTTCTGAAGTGCAAGGACAGTCACCTGTGTAACCACAACATAGCCATCAAGATCAGGAATGTGCCAGTCATCCATTAGGACCACCCAATCCATGTAATCCTTCAGATATAAGCGATTATCCTAATAATGCCCTTTATCGGTCCAGTATCCAATTTAGGATTTCATGTAGTTGTCATGTCTCTTTAGTCTCCTTCACAGGAATAGTTCATTTTATCTTGTCTTTCATGACCTTGACATTTTTTTTTTTTAAGATTTTTTTTTTTTAAGTAATCTCTACACCCAGTGTGAGGCTTGAACTCACAACCTGGAGATCAAGAGTCACCTGCTGTACGGACTGAGCCAGCCAGGCAGCCCATGACTTTGACATTTTTGAGGAATGCAGGCCTTTGTAGTTACTTTGTAGAATGTCCCTCCGTTGGAATTTCTGACATGTTTCCTCATGATTTATGTATTTTTGCTGAGAAAACCATAGAAATGATGCTGCCATCATATCACGAGGCATATGATTCCATATTTGTTACTGGTGATGTTAACTTTTATCTCTTGGTTAAGATAGTGCTAAATAACCTGTTTCTGACCACGTTTTGACTGAACGAGTTGCAGCATACATTGGTGATTCTTGTGCAAATCAGTGATTACTATGAGGGTAGCCAAATGGTATCTTTTTTTTTTATTAATTTTATTATTATTTCATTATTTCTTTTAGATTTATTTGTCAACAGTATACTGTGGGGTTGAGCTTTTCCCTCCTCTCTTTCTTTTTATGGGCTTACAGATTCCTGTTTTTCTCAAGGAGTTACCATCTGTTACTAGCATTCTTTGATACTAAAATTGTCCTAGACTTGGCCAGTGTCCTTTTGACATATCCCGATCACTCTCTGAGCACTTCCTATTTTTTGTAGCAACTAATTGTTCTGGGATCATCTTGTTTCTTGGTCTAGCTGTGGAGTCAGCCATTTCTTCAGGGAAACTTAGTTCTTATTAGAGGAAAATGTATTTAAAATTTGAGATTCTGCTACTGGGTGTACTCCTTGCAACTGGGTATCATTGCTTCTGGGCCCTTTATGTGGACACAGCTAGTAAATATTTTGAGGCAATTACGTACATTTATGTTTACACACTTATCTCTGTATTTGTGTCTATATTTACCTATTATTAAAAACTAGGAGTTCATACCAGTTCTTCAGGTTCTAGTCTAATGCCACAGGGTTTATTCTAGCTTTACCTCTTTCCACATTTGTAATTCTCTTCTCTGACATTGAGAAACCTGGTTTCCAGTATCTTTAGTGTATTGATTTTTCATTTCTTGTATGTAACCAAACTCCCTGCCGTTATTACGCAAAGATCAGCCCTGACACACCCCTTGTCCCACCGCACCAGGTTCTCTAGATGAGCTTCTGAACCCAGGGGAAGGAAAAAGGAAGAAAGACGTTAGAGAACGTGACCGTGGACATGCTGCTTCCCCCTCCCTTTAATAGTCCCCCTCACTAGGTGCTCTGACTAGAACATAGAGAAGGAGGAAAGTTAGAAAGCCTGGCCTTCAACTTCAGTGTCCCCTTCTTCACTAGTCACACTGGCCAAAAGTTTGGCCCTGGGTCAACCCCAGTTGGATGCACTAGCCAGCTGACCAAACTCAGGACTGGCCAAAGGAAAAAGGTGCTTCATTTACTTCCTAAAATAAACAGAGTTTTCAAAAATTTAAACAGGTGATAGAATTTTTTTAGAGAAGGAATTTTGCCTTTGCATCCCACAGGGCACTTTGTAAATAGCTGTAATATTTTTCAGGGTGCCCAGTGGGTGCAAAGTTTTAGAAGCCATGTGGATGGATAGAATTGTGGCTGAGCCCTATGCTGACCCACTCTTGAGCGGTTCCAGATTTGAATGTTTAGATTTTCTGACTGGCCACAGCTGGAGTTTTATGTGCTATTTGGTGACAATATAGTCTTCTCAGTGAGAAAAGGTATTTGGAACTTGAAAATAATTAAAACATAGTAGTTCTCATCTTATTAGAGAAAGTAGATTAATCTTCAATACAAATAAGATAACTAATAAAAAATTAAAAAGGTTATGGGACGCCTGGGTGGCTCAGTTGGTTAAGCGACTGCCTTCGGCTCAGGTCATGATCCTGGAGTCCCAGGATCGAGTCACACATCGGGCTCCCTGCTCGACGGGGAGTCTGCTTCTCCCTCTGACCCTCTTCCCTCTCGTGCTCTCTATCTCTCTTTCTCTCTCTCTCAAATAAATAAAATCTTTAAAAAAAAATTAAAAAGTTATTTATGAATATTTTCCCATAACCTCAACACCATCACATTTTATTTTGCGATATTCAGCTCTCATATGAAACTTAACTTGGTTATCATAGTCATTATAGTTAAATAGTCATTATCATAGTTAAAAACCAATCTTGTGACTAGGAATTTAATTTTAAGTTCATTAATTTTTTTAGTAATCTACACCGAACTCATGACGCCAAGATCAAGAGTCACATGGTCTTCTGACTGAGCCAACCAGGCACCCCAATCTTATGACTAGGAATTTAAAGACAATCTCTTTGTCATGGCTGTTAGTCTCTTATTTTGTTTATTACTGTGGTAACTTTCACCGTCTCAATGAAAAACTTTATTTTGCAGAGTTTTACCCTCCGTTAAATTGTTGCTCTTCCATTTCCACAGTTCTCAAAATTGTTCATCATTAGTTGACATAATAAAGTGTTATAAAATAATAAATAGAATTCCTGCCATTTAATATGCTTTTTTGAAAGGCTTCTTAGGCTATTTTGTATTTGTTTTTAGTAAATTTTACAGTTAACATCTAAATATATTCTTTTTTTTTTTTTAAGATTTTATTTATTTATTTGAGGGAGAATGAGAGAGAGCATGAGAGGGAAGAGGGTCAGAGGGAGAAGCAGACTCCCCGCTGAGCAGGGAGCCCGACGTGGGACTCGATCCCGGGACTCCAGGATCATGACCTGAGCCGAAGGCAGTCGCTCAACCACCTGAGCCACCCAGGCGCCTCAACATCTAAATATATTCTTGGAGGGATTTTTAGAGAGTGGTAAAGCAGATCAGTAAAGTCTGAAGAACAGAGTTAGGATAGAAATTCATTCTGGATGGTATGAGAAATCAGGTATTTTAGCTAAGAAGAGTTGCCTTTGGATATCTCTGCATCCTTGGATATGAAATTTTCAAAGAATTAGAAAACAATAGGTGCACCAGCCTGGCTCAGTCTATAGAGCATGTGTGTGACTCGATTGATCTCTGGGTTGTGAGTTCAAAGCCCCACACTGGGCACAGAGATTACTTAAAAATAAAATCTTAAAAAAAAAAAAAGAAAACATTAAAGTCTTCTTAATATTTAAATATGATTTAGTCTTTTTTTATATTCAAATGGTACCACAGTAGCTTGCAGCGCCTGAGTTATATTAAGTATCAGTTCTATAAATGTGTAAAAGACATCAACTAATAAAGTTAGAATAGAATCCCAGATTTCAGGAAGTGTACTGCCTTTTTTTAAAATTTAAAATCAATTAATTAACATACAGCGTATTATTAGTTTCAAAGGTAGAATTCAGTGATTCATCAGTTGCGTATAACACCAGTGCTCATTACATCAAGTGCCCTCCTTAATACCCATAACCCAGTTACCCCATCCCTGCACCCACCTCCCCTCCAGCAACCCTCAGTTTGTTTCCTGTAGTTAAGAGTCTCTCATGGTTTGTCTCCCTCTCTGATTTCACCTTATTTTGAAAGTATTGCCTTTTGAGGACAAATTTACATTAATCTTTACAGTACCATATGCCATTAAAATGGTTTTAAAATGCCAATACAGGGGTGCCTGGGTGGCTCAGTTGTTCAGCATCTGCCTTTGGCTCAGGTCATGATCTCAGGGTCCTGGGATCAAGTCCCACGTCAGGCTCTCTGCTCAGTGGGGAGCCTGCTTATCCCTCTCCCTCTGCCCCCCACGCATGCTCACGTACTTTCTTTCTCTCTGTCTCAAATAAATATTTTTTAAAAAGGGGTGCCTGCGTGGTTCAGTCGTTAAGCGTCTGCCTTCAGCTCAGGTTACGAACCCAGGGTTCTGGGATCAAGCCCTGCATCAGCTCCCTGCTTCTCCCTCTCCCATTCCCCCTGCTTGTGTTCCCTCTCTTGCTGTCTCTCTCTGTCAAATAAATAAAATCTTTAATAAAAAAAGCCAATACACATGTGTTAATGAAGACTGTGCTTGATCGTGGATAATTAATAGAAGGTGAGGATTGACAAATTGTTTTTTTAAGTATTAGAGAATTACATGAATGTTCAGATGACTGTGATGATAGTAAAAAAAAAAAGAATGAAGGTAGAACTGTTTATATGCAAAACCTTTTAAATTTTTAGGATTGACATTGAAAAAAATTTGAGGTGATTATCAGTTTAAAAGAAAGGCAATAATAAGTCTGTTTATCAATCCCTGATTCATATCATGCATTACAGTATATTTTATATTCTTAATTATAGCCTTAAAGTAAATACCCCAAACCGGGTTTTTAAAAGAGGTTTGCTTAGTATAAAAACTTTACATTTCCAGAGATTATCCTCCAAACCCCTATCCCTAACCATACCAGTTTTTTTCTCTAAGGGCCCTGCTGAACTTTATTATAATATTATCCTCTTTATTATAATGCTCACCTAGGGACCATTGGAAAAATAGTGATGCTGAGGTCCCACTCCCATCCAGGTAGTTCAGAATCTCTGGGAGTGGGGCCCAAGCATAAAACCTTTACGTTTTAAAATTCAAGACAGTTCTAATACGTAGCCAGTTGAGACTCACTGATCTGAACCCTGATCTCCCTGAGAGCGGGGAATAGGTCATAACCATTTTTGTGGGCCCAGTGCCTAGCACAGGGTTTGCCCAAAGTGGATGCTTTGTAGAATGAATTTGTAAGTTTGTGTTCTGATTCTATAAGTCTATAGTTTTAAGAGAGAGCTCTGCTAACAGATTCTGTATTTTTGTTCTACTTTTCTGTGAAGGGCCGAGATGGACGAAAAAATGTGGTTCCACATGTTTTATCTGTTAATGGAAATCTGGACCGAGGTGTGCTGGCTTACCTCTACGATTCTTTCCAGCTCACAGAGAACTCCTTTACAAGGAAGAAGAATCTTCATAGAAAGGTGCTTTTGATATTTCAGAGATAAACCTGGGAAACTAAAAATATATGTTTTTCCATCATATGTTAGTGGGCTTGGTTTTTTAACACAAACTGTGAGTAATAAATTTCTTTCCATGCAGGTTATTTTACATTTTTCATTTTTTAGAATCTGGCCACAGAAGTAATAAGCAGGTTCTCACAGAATAGAACAAGGCATTCCTATTGGGTAATCTCAGAGGCATTTCTCTTTGATCCTGGCAGACAGGTAGAGAGCAATCTCTGATTCTTAGCCCCTGAGCCTTTCCCTCGGTGGCTTACATTTATATCACAGAGTGTTAAGCAGGACTATGTCAGACTAGCAAAACTTGTGAGATTGATCTCTCTGCTTCTAGTCTGACCCCAAGTGGCTATTCACTAGATCACAGGAGCTATCTTTGGGCCTGGGTCACGGACATGTTTATGGGCTCACAATCAAGAGAGAAGAGGGCCTGAAGCTATAGGAAAGAAAATAAATGCTTAAAGGAGTGAGATTTTGGAAGAAACATGAAGGGTCAAAACAGGATCAAGAACACTAGTGGAGGGATTGGTCTTGAAAAGGAGTTACTTGAAAAAGCACAGAGGAGAGAAATGATGGTATAGATATAAATAGGCTACCAGGGGTGGTTAGCCTTTGAAGGAAGTTTTCCTCATATTCTCTATTTTCTTAGGGAATTAGAAAGCAGGATTATTAGCTTAAAATGTGGAGGAGTAGAGGTTTAAGTGGCAAGAATTTAGAGTATTCATATTCCCCTTGAATGTGAAAGGGAGCTGCCCCAAATCAAAAGTTTCAACATGTTGAGTCCTCAACTGGGTTTGGAAACCATGAATTTGTAGTACCACTTTGCATAGCTGAATGATTTATTATGCAGTGTTCATTTAGCCTGATATGCCCATAAAGAAAGTCGCATTATAGAATTGTTCTAGGGCTTGGAATTTATCGGATATATAGCAAACGAGGGATCCTTTCTATCTCTCATACCCCACATCCAAATCATCAGCAAAAACCATTTGACTCTGTCTTCAAAATATATCCTGAACCTGACCATTTCTTACCACTTGCCCTCTTTCCACTCTGATCTAAGCCACTACCATCCCCTCCCACTAGCACTGAGTGGCCCTTTTAAAAGGTACATGTACACTAAGCTCCTTGTTTCCTTCAGAGGAAAAGGCAAAGCCCCTAAAGTGTTTTACAAAACCCTTCCCTTTTGACCTCCTCCACCCCCCACTTTACTCATTCTGTTCCAATAAAACAGACCCCTTTGCTGTTTCTAGAAAATGTCAGTCGTGCTTCCAGCTCAGAACTTTGTCATTTGTTCTCCCCTTTGCCTGAAATGCTCTCCCTCCAGAATCCAGAACCACCTTTTAAGTCTTCGGTCAAATGTCACCTCAGAGAGACCTCTTACCACCTTATTTAAAATTGCAAACAGTCCTCTCCAACCCACCCCTCTCCAGCACTTCCTATCTCCTCCCCCGCTTTTTTAAAGCACTTAACCACCTTCAGATATATTATTTACTTGTCTGTTATCTCTTTATCCCCACCATGAGGGGCAAGGAGTTTTGTCCCTAGTACCTAGAACTGTTTCTGGCACCAAGGAGCCGTTCAGATGTTTGTTGAGTGGATGGATGAATAAGAAGAGTGGTAGGTTTTGGCAAGAGAAAGTTCAATTGATGAGTCCCATGGCTGGGGCTGGGTAGGGAGGGCAGTGATACCCAGAAGGGGCATTTGGATTGAGGGAAAATGGCGTTGTCAGAAAACGGGAGAGTATCAAGTGAACTTACCTCTGCAGAATATCTAGTGGAGAAATCAATGAGCAGCTAGATAATAGCCAGCTGAATACATCATTACATGATTGATGATCTCAGCTAGCTTCCATTTTCACACAAAATTTTTATGGTTTAAGAAGTTCCATGTTTGATAATGCTTGTGTTAGACTTAAACAAGATGTGCTATCCTTTTTTCCCCCCCATCTCTTTAAATTGCTTTAGGTACTTAAACTTCACCCTTGTTTAGCCCCTGTTAAGGTTGCTTTGGATGTGGGAAGAGGCCCAACGGTGGAATTAAGACAGGTGGGTTAAATGAGTTTTAGTATCATGATTTTAATTATAACCATTACTTCAAATAAATGAGTAACTTTACCGTTTAAATTTTTGATTCATTTGCTTTTTTAAAAATTTAAATAGCTGTGGATAAATACTGTGGTTTATTATAGATAACTTGAAGCATAGTATATAAAAGAAGCTGCATACAGCTCAGTGATTTTACTGTTAAAGTCATGCTTACTCATAGTTGCCTTTTTCAAATGAGTATGCATAGTTTTGGTAATCCAAATATTCATACAGATGTCTAGTGAATTATTTCTTGCCCACTTAACATTTTTAACCTGATACTTATTGGTATAAGCACAGGTTCTAGATCTATACCTTATTTTGGTTCTTCTAATCTATCTGGTCTAATTAAATACTCTTGAGAAGCCACGAGGGTGGTTTTAGTTTCTTTCCAGACACCTGTTTAGCCGTCATGCTGGTCCTGGGTGACTCATACCCACCCAGCACCTGAGTGAGGACACTAGCAAGATTCACCCAGCTTTCTTAGGCTCCTGTGGAGAGGTGTGGGAAGGTGGGGATAGTGCACTCAGGGGAAGGGAAGGTAGTGGTTTAATTTCCACTTTCCCCCGTGGGGTTGTGGCAGCATCCCCAAGACGCTTGTAGTAGAAGGTCTTTGGGTTTTTGTTTTGTTTTGTTTTGCTTGAAGGACAAAAAAGAAGTCTGCTCCCTAAATTTTTGTCATTGCAATTGCAGGTCTTGTTTTGTTTTGGTTTTGTTTACGTATAAGAACATAGTAGTGGGTGCCTGGGTGGCTCAGTTGGTTAAGCGACTGCCTTCGGCTCAGGTCATGATCCTGGAGTCCCAGGATCGAGTCCCGCATCGGGCTCCCTGCTCAGCGGGGAGTCTGCTTCTCCCTCTGACCCTCCCCCCTCTCATGTGCTCTCTCACTCTCTCTAATAAATAAAATCTTTAAAAAAAAAAAAGAACAGTAGTATTTTGTCCCTTGTGTGTTTTTAATTTACCAAAAGGGAGTATGTTGTATATCTCATTCTGTTTTTAACTTTTTTTCCCTCAGTGGTAGCACAGAACTTTCTGGGCTATGCAAGGGGTTTTGCTGGTTATATACATGGAGATGGAATTTCTGGATAAAATGGACACATATCCTTAATTTCACTATTGTCAGTGAGATTGTCTCCAGATTGGCTGCACCTGTTTATTCTCATGGTGGGGGGGTTCTCATTTCTTTAGGCCAGAGCTACTTCTCTTCTACCTCCCAACAGGAAGAGCATATGTTTTTGTTGTCAACCACTAACTTTTTAAAATAAAATCCACAATGATGTTTATTTTTCTCTGTTAACTTCTTAGACTTATTAATATTTATATTCTCACCTATCCCCAAAATATCAAGTACCTTCACACTCATTGGTCTTTCCCTGGGAACTTGTTAGAAATGCACATTGTTGGTCCTCACCCCAGAGCTGCTGAATCAGAAACTCTGGTAATGAGGCAGAGCAACCTGTGTTTGACAAGCCCTCCAGGGGATTCCAGTTTGAGAAAGTTTGAGAAGTTTGAGAAACAGTGCTGTAGCTCAGGCATGCCCTCCCCGACCCACCACGGCCACCCTCCCCTGCTGGGCCATTTGGTGTTGTCTGGAGACATTTTTGGTTGTCACAAGTGGGAAAGGGAGTGCTATAGGCATCTCAGGGAGGCCACGGATGCTGCTAACTATCCTAACGTCAGCAGTGTGGAAGGGGAGAAATCCTGCTCTAGAGTTTTAGCTCCTGATTGTTAAGGGTTAAAATTTTTGCTTTGGGGGCGCCTGGGTGGCTCAGTCGTTAAGCGTCTGCCTTCGGCTCAGGTCATGGTCCCAGGGTCCTGGGATCGAGCCCCATGTCGGGCTCCCTGCTCTGCGGGGAGCCTGCTTCTCCCTCTCCCACTCCCCCTGCTTGTGTTCCCTCTCTCGCTGTGTCTCCCTCTGTCAAATAAATAAAATCTTGAAAAAAATAAAAATAAAATTTTTGCTTTGTTTTGCCTCACCATTGCTTGTGAAGAAAACGGTAAAGTTTATTATGTAATATTACTCATTATTCTGTATTTCCAGTCAGGCTTTGTGTCCAGCATTCCCACTTAAAACCATTCTCTTCTTGAAACGTTTTTTTTAGTTGGCTTCAGGAACACCACTCTCCTCGTTTTCTTCATACTTGTCTGGCTACTCCTTTGTTTGCTTTACTGGCTCTTTCTTCTCTTCCTGAGGTGGTGGTGTAACCCTGGGGCTCAGTTGCCAGCTCTCAGATGAGCTCACAGTTAGCACGGCCCTTTGCACTTACTGCTTTTCTCTGACAGAATCTGTTTCGGTTTTGTTCCTGTTTTGAAGGGTAATGATGATGATAAAAATGCTTGTATCTGTTATAAAATTTTCTCTTAGGGAAGATTTGCATTTAGTATTTAGCTTTGCAGTGCTTAATTTCATTTTCAGAGGAAGTATGCAATTAGTAAGTATACAGCGTATGAATTGTAAACAATATCACATAACTATAAGAATTTATGCCTCGTGTTAAGGACTGGAAAAAGTGATTTGTGGTTTCACAAAAACAGGGTAGTCATTCTAGCTACTTTTACTTCGTTATATTTGAACTGTTTGTATTTTTTTCCTCAGGTCTGTCAAGGGTTATTTAATGAATTACTAGAAAATGGAATTTCTGTGTGGCCTGGTTATATGGAAACTGTGCAGTCCTCATTTGAACAACTTTATTCAAAGTAAGATTGTCTTGTCACTAAAATATGTATGTATGTTCAGAGTTTTTTATCATATGTGTCTTTACGAATAATAGAAATCTCTTCTAAATATCCTTCTAAATAAATGTAAATATATATATATAAAATTAAAATTATTCCTAACTTTCCCATTTATACCCCATACCCCTAGTTAATTGCTACAGCAGGGAACAATATTCACTGGTATATTTGAGCACATATTATGTGCAAGTTCAAGACTTAATGTCATGTAGTATGTGCACCTGAGTTTATCATTTTATCAGGGATGCAGTTATGTGTAGATGCATTTATTGAATCAGGATTGAGGGAACACGAATGGAGTGCCTTTTCCTTGTTGGTGCTGTGGTTCATTCTGAGGCTGAGTGGAAGATAATTCCATCCCAGACAAAGGACAGAGAACTAGTTTCAGTGATCAGCACCTCTATTCACCCAGTTGCTCCAGACTGATACCTGGATTTATCGTCCTTAACTCCCTCCTCTTCCTTACTCTCCACCACCCCCAGTTCATCACTAAATGTTGTCAGCCTGCCTCCTAAATAGTATCAGATCCATCTCTTTCCATCCTCACTGCACTACCCACATTAAAGTCACCGGTGTCTTTTGGCTGGGTTCTTTTTTTTTTTTAAGATTATTTATTGATTTATTTGAGAGAGAGAGCACAAGTGGGGGCGGGTGCAGAGGGAGCGAGAAGCAGGCTTCCCGCTGAGCAGGGAGCTTGATGTGGGGCTCGATCCCAGGACCCCGAGATCATGACCTGAGCCGAATGCAGAGACGCTTAACGGACTGAGCCACCCAGGTGCTCCTTCTGGCTGGATTCTTGTAGTAATCGCCTGATTGGTATTCTGTCTCCAGCCTTAGCCCCTGCTATTTCATTAACTTCCATTTTTAAAGTAATCCATTCTTCCCTCCTTTGCGTTTGTTACCTTCGTAGCTTTTTGTGTTGAATATCTATCTTTTGGGTGAAAAGTTGGGAAACTTTATGTTTTTCTCTTCAGTTCTCTAGTAACTTGTTAAAATCACCTTTCAGATGATGTCAGAGGAAAAATAAGTTTCTATAGATAAAGCAGTTAATGGTTTCATATAAAAGTGGTGGTGCTTGAACTCTCCAGTCCCTGAGTTCTAAAATCTTATCCTTTGAGTCATTTAAGGATAATTGAGTGAACATTACCAAGTTAGAGTTGTCTTTTGAATGGTAAAGGCTTTATTATCCCAGAATATTTTTAATGAAATATTTATTAAGCGTACCTACTATGGTTTTTTTAAGAGGATTTTTAAAAAAGATTTTATTTATTTGGGGAGGGGGTTGCATGCGCGCGCATACGCAAATAGGGGAAGGGAGAGGGAGACAATCTCAAGCAGACTTCACACTGAGTGCAGAGCCCACTGCTGGTTCGATCACACGACCCTGAGATCATGACCCAAGCCAAAACCAAGAGTTGGTTGCTCAACTGACTGAGCCACCTCGGTGCCCCCACCGAGGTTTTTTATGTTTTATGCACTTTGATAACAGCAGTAAACAAGACAGAAAAATTTCCTGTTCTTATGAAGCTTATATTCTAGTAGGACAAAGTAGACAATAAACAAGTAAATAGATAAATAATTTCTGATGGAGTCCTACAAAGAAAACAGACAATGAGATCATGTGTCTTGGGTAAACAGAAAGAAGGCCAGTGTGGATATATTCAGTTATTTTTGAACTAGAAATGATAAGTTACCATTCTAAGTTATATATTAGGTAAGCATGATTTTGGTATAATTTGTTGTATACAAGATCTTTATCAGAGTAGTATTATAAGAGACTTTAGTCTAAAGTAATGTTTCTTGGATTGTATACAAGCACCAAAAGGCTGAGATTATTCTGAGGTTCATCCATAATTTCACCCCAAATGATGTATTGAGGACCAGTGTTTATTTCTTAGATTTTATTTTCTTTTATGATTTTTCATCTATTACAATAAGTCAGAGAAACTTTCTGAGAAATTTACTTTGAATATGGTTCAGAAACTTTAAAAAAAGTGTTTTTTTGGTCCAACTCTCAAGCCCTGCTTTTGAGTTTTATGACTCTGGAAAGTGGCTGGATTCTAAAGTAATTAAAGCTGTTAATATGGTGAATTTACAATTTGTATTTGTGCTCATGTATTTTGTTTAACTACTTTTTTCCTTAGATATGATGAAATGAGTATCCTGTTCACAGTTTTGATTACTGAAGCTACTTTGGAGAATGGGTTAATACATCTGAGAAGTAGAGACACCACAATGAAGGAAATGATGCATATATCCAAAGTAAAAGACTTTTTAATCAAGTATATATCATCAGCTAAGAATGTATAGATTTTAATATTTGTGTAATAAATATTCTCCTTTCCTAATTTGATTGTCTTATATTAACTTAGATTTGTTTTTAGCCCCTTTACTTTTATGAAGTGGACATTTTTGGTGCTTTTTTAATTCAGTTTTTATTACTTATATTTCTTAATGGATTACATTCTATCAGAAATATGTTTAGCTACAAGAAACAAAAATCCCACTATATTGGATTAAGCAAATTGTAGTTTGTTTTTCTCATAGCAAGAAGTCTAGGAGGGTAGACTGTCCAGAGCTAGTATAATTGTTTCCTCTATAGTTAGTGACCCAGGCTCTTGATACCTTTCTGTTCTACCATCTTGGGTATGTTGGCTTTTATTTTTATACTTGCTGCTTTGTAGTCACAGGGTGGCTGCTGTATGTCTAGCCTTCTTGTCCACATTCTAGTCAGGAAGAAAGTAAAAGACAAGAGCTAACCGGCCAAAACTCTTCCGTTTTTAACTGGGAAAGTAAAAACTTTCCCAGACATCCCAATCAAAGGACTTGTTTACATTTCATTGGTCAGAACTGGGTCACCTGGGCATCCCTAGGCCAGTCACTGCCCAAGGGAATGAGAATATCATGATTTATTTGGATCAAACACAACTTCTGCCTTAGGGCTTTGGTGGTGTCTTATCCTCTTTGAAATGGGTTTTATTATCAGGGAAGAAGGAGTCTTTATAGAATCTGCCACATGTGTACTGTCAAATATTGAAGACTAACCTAAAACTAAACTTTAAAAAATTAGAACACTTATTGATTTTTGAAAAGCAAGATAAAATAAATGTTAGATGGCATAATCTAATATTACGGTGTATTTTGTGTCTGGTTCTAATAGGTATATTTAAAAGAAATCTTTGAACTTTTATGTGCTGGTTATGTCTGTGTTAATTATACCATCATTACTCACCTGACAAAAATTCCAAACATAAGAATAGTATAATTAACCCCAAGTGCTATCACCCAGCACCAGTAACCATCAATCTGTGAACATCTTGCCTCATCCACCCAACAACCATCCTTCCATATCAGTTGGAAGCAGATTGCAGCTCTCCCTTCATTTGTGAGTATTTTAGTTAAGTGTCTTTTGTTAACCATTATCACACCTAAAAAAAATGAACATTACATGGTATTAAGGAATTGTTGACAATTTTCTTGGATGTGTGATAATGGTATTATGACTTTTTTTAAAAATGTCCTTATCTGAAAGAGACACATACTTAAATATTTTTGAGTGAAATTATATGATATCTGAGACTTGCCTTAAGATTCTCCAGTTTAAAACAGTGGTGTATTATAGATAAAAAATAATAGTATCTCTCAGTTGTTGAAGCTGGGTGATGAGAACATGAGGGTTCATTGTATTGCCTTTTTATTTTTGTGCATGTTTGAGAATTTTCATAATAAAAAGTTTTTAAAAACCATTTCTTTAATATCGGATATCTACTCAGTTTTCAGTTGTCTTATAATTTCATAAAATTGAAGTTGATTGTTAGGTCTTTTAGTCTCTGTTTTTTTTAAGAAATTGGGCTGCTTATTATGGGGTTTGTTACTCTTTGGATTTTGCTTATTGCATCCCCATGATGGTTTAACCTGTTCCTGTCTATATATAATTTCCTAAGGATTTGGAAGTTGAATCCAAAGGCTTAATCAGTTTCAAGTTTAATTTTGGGGGACAAGATTTTTCCTAGGTTGTTGTGTTCTATCAGGAGGCAGTACTGTCTGGTAGCTTCTCTTTTGGGGATGCTAACAATCATTGATCAAAACGGTGATATTCTGATTCTCTTTCTTCCTCATTCATTAGCTAGAATACTTCTGTAAAAACATCTCATCTATTACTTGCTTAGAGGTGTGAGAGAGGTAGGATAAATGCAGATTTGTTTCCTTTAAAGTTGTTCTCTTTGATGTTCAAATTGTCCTATCTTTGGCCAGTGGGAGCCTCTTCAAGTTGGCCTGGAGTCATTTTGACACAACTTCCATAGTCTTTAATAGCTTGTATATTTCAGAATTTCTGTAAGAAGTCCTGGTTCCTTTTAATGGAAAATGGTATTTGGAAGCTGTATCTGAGTACTGGGGATACTCATTGTTAGAAGGTGGTCTTTGTTTCTAGGCTTTTTCAGTGTTCAGTACTAGCAGATATGTAAGTGTGTGTGTGTGTGTGTGTGTGTGTGTGTGTGTGTGTGTGTGTTTCACCCTGAATTTAAAAAGTCATGAATTCATACCAGTACTTTATATTCAAATTTAGCACTGCAGTGTTGGGGGGTGGGGCAGGGTTGTTAATCAGCTTTGTTGGGATAAAATTTATATTCAATAAACTTATTTTAAATGTACAAATTATGAATTTTGACAAATGTGTAACCACCACCACAATGACAATATAGAACATTTCCATCACCCCAAAAATGTCCCCTCATGCTTTTTAGGACTGCAGGGCTTTTACTTAATCTCTTTTATCATACATCTGTATCTCTTCCATTCCAAAATCCCAGTTCTCAAGAATACTGAGGGGCTGGGGCGCCTGGGTGGCTCAGTCCATTAAGCTTCTGCCTTTGGCTCAGGTCATGATCTCAGGGTCCGGGGACCAAGCCTTGCATCGGGCTCCCTGCTCAGTGGGGAGTCTGCATCTTCCTCTCCCACTCCCCCTGCTCATGCTCTCTCTCGCTCTCTCTCTCTCTCTCTAGTAAATAAAATCTTAAAAAAAAAAAAAATACTGAGGGTGATAATTAGAAAGCCATGGCCTACAACTGCTCATTTGCTTGATTTCACCTTAATTGTGGCAATCTCAGAATTACCATACCAATATGACCACCATATGTCAACTTAAAAGTTTAAATTTCAGGGGCGCCTGGGTGGCTCAGTCAGTTAAGCAGCCCACTCTTGATTTCAGCTCAGGTCATGAGATTTATATATTTATAAATATATAAAATCTTTTTTAAAAAAAGTTTAAATTTCATTTTTATAATTTAATGATAAGAGTGTTCTTTTTAAAAAAATTTTATTTTAGAGGGAGAAAGAGCACAAGCAGCAGAGGGAGAGGGAGAAAGAATCCCAAGCAGACTCAGCACTGAGCACAGAGCCTACTGCTGGGCTCGATCTCACAACCCTGAGATCATGACTTGAGCTGAAGCCAAGAGTTGGAGGCTTAACAGATTGAGCTACCCAGGCACCCTGCTGTGAGAGTGTTCTTGAAGGCATTTGTTTGCTATGTTATACCACGTCTTCCTGTAAGGAAGCATGGGAGAAATTTCTCTCAGACAGTTGTGCTTCTCCTGGCCTGTTATTATATGTGTTATATATTTGTTCATTTTGTTCATTCAAAAAAGGCTTTTTTGAGCACCTAAGTCCCGGGGACTGTAGGTACTGGGGATATAGTGGTGAACAAGATAGACATTTCTGGGGGTAGAGAGGTGGGAACAGATACTAAGCAGGTATGCTCATGGACAATTTCAGGTAATTTCAGATAGTGATAGTGTTGTAGGTAATAGAACAGGATGATGTGCTAGATCATGGCTGTAGTTGTGTGCTTTGCCTAGGTGGTCAGGGAAGCTCAGAGGATGTGACCTTCAGACTGAGGCTGAATGATACAAAGGAGCCAGGTATGTGAGGATCTGGGGCAGAGCATCCTGGACAGAGGGACTAGGAAGTGCCAAGGCCCTTAGGAGGGAGAAGGTAGTGACCAAGGAGCAGAAAGCAGGCCAGGGGGGCTGAAGTAGGTGAGCAGAGGGGAGATGAGTAGAAGATGAGGTCGGACAGGTGGTCAGGACCCACATCACTTAGAGCCATGGTGGCCACAGCAAGTCTTCCAGAAGCCACTGGGGCAGGAGGGGATGGTTTAAGTAGACAAGGGACATACTGTTATTTTGAAAAGATTACTGTGGGAATGGGATGCAGAGGAGTAAGAGGGAAGCAGGGAGACCTGTTAAGGAGCTCTGACAGGTGATGGCGGCCAGGACAAGACAGGGAGCAGTACCCTTCTTAGACCTGGCAAGAGGAGCCCCTGCGCTGGGCCCTTTCTCGAGCATCCTGCTCTGGCCCTTCTCCATCTGCCTCCTTCCCCACAGGATGTTTGAGGGGCCAAGAAGGCATGCTTGGAGATCATTGTAGTCCTTAGGTGTCTAATTTTTCTAACCTGTAAATCAGTTACAACCTCTGGTACAGTGTATTGGGGAAGAGTTGAGGGCATAGTCCATGTCCCTCAAAGGTGGAAAGAAGAAAGGAAAAAACATTGAGCTTCAGGCATCACAGAACTGTCGATCATTCCTCTGGTTAGGTCTCCTTTACATCCTTCCTGAGAAGCATCACTGAGAGAAGGCAGTCTCCTCCGGTTGTAATCCACCAGCCCTGGGAGCAGAAGGGGCAGATGGTCCTCCCCGCAAGGCTTTTGTGCTGCCTGGTATTACCCTGCAGGTACCACCTTTTCCCATTTTTCTATTGGATTATTGGTGGGTTGGTTTTTTGTTTTTCAGTAGTTTGTAAGAGCTCATTATATATTATGAAACTTCAAATTTTATCTGAGATGTGGGTTCAAAGTATTTCCCCTATTTATTCTTTTGGCTTAGCTTATGATTTTTAAATGTAATTTTAAAATGAGTCATCTAATTAAATTTAGCAATTCTTTATATCTTCTGAATTGTGAGTCATACCTAGAAAAGCCTTCCCCTCTTAAAGATTATTTTTAAATTCCTCCTGTTTTCTTCTAGCACTTCTATGGCTTTATTTTTAGGTATTTTAACATTTGACCGATTTGACTTTATTTCGTTGCAGAGAATGAAGTGTAGGGGATCCACCTTTTCTTAAATGTGATTCTAAAGTTTTTACACTATATTGAATGATCCATCTTTTCGCCACTGATTTAAAATGCCATATTTTTCATTTACTGAATTCCCATGTGTGTTTAGATTTATAGCTAGACTTTCGGTCCCGTTCCATTGTTCTACTTGTTCAGCCATATGCCAATACCACACTTTAAACATCATGGTAGCTTTATAATGTTTCCAAACCTTACATACACATCCCTGTCCCTCTC